GTTTTTAAAAGGAAGATGTATCGAATTTATGAGGATGTGCATCTGTTGATTTTTTTATTTCAAGCACTTTATTGGACTAGTTATAATTGTTTCTAGTGTGTATTAGGGATGCCGAGAAATGACTGTCGCCAGACATCTTCGTTCATGACATATGCATATTTCAGAATACACTGCGTACAGCTAGGAAAGACAAAGATTGGCGATGAAGTGTCAGAGAATTTCAAGCGAATCGAAAAACCTAAGAGAGAGCGTAGTGCTTCTGTTACACAACAACAAAAATTTTTTAAATGAGAGGATTATTGAGATCACGAGGAAGATGATTACACTGATCTGTACTGCCATAACGTTTTTGAAAATTTATGAGGATTGAATTGGTTTGGATCAGAAATAATGGGTAAGTAGATGTTAATTAAAATGATTGTCTCGAACAATATCATACAAACCCCACACGGTCAGTGCATGCCGGACACGATTTTAGGACCTTTCTGCACCTTTGCAGCTGTGGAGCTGCAAGTAGACAGTAAGACTTGAAAATTTTGCAAGTCTGACCACTGCGAGCGCAAAAAGACATCTAATGCAAATGCCATAACTGAAAGATGCAGTTCAGCACCGTATGACTCTTAGACGATATGTCACCTCAACAGACGTTGGAGCGGCAACATTTGTAGACGAGATGATGACGCACACCCAAATCCGCAAATGGATAAACCCTTGTCAAAGTGTGGGAGAGCCACTGGGTCGATTAACTCCAGGAGAGAAAAGGAATGTCAGGATGGCCAGAAGGCTGACCACTAGGCAATGCAGCATCGGTCAAAACAATTATGAAATGAAGAAGGAAGAAAATGGCATGATTTTGGGTCGCACTACTGAACAGCACACCAAATATGAATACATACACATCAGTGGTGAACCAGTAGCCATCCCAAGTGGACGTACGTAGGAATTTGTACTAATTTTAAAATTAGTAAAAAAAATTGCCTCTTTTGGTGATTAAAAAATGAGCAGAAGATGTGATTTTTGTCAAAAAAGTGATTTTTGTTTTTTTTTTTTGTTTCTTTTCGTGATTTTAGTGATTTCTGTAATTTTTTTGACAAAAAGAAACTTGACTTTTTTTGTCAAAGTAGGCATTTAAATCACGAGGAGTTCCGCCGAAATAGCTGACTGGTGTTCTATAAACCGGTACTGGTGCCTCTCTTGTGAATTTAACGAAAAACGCATCCAGAAGGAACCTAAAGCAGTACGCTTAGCCAGAAACTTTCATTCATCCATCAAGACAGAGGAAGGCTAAAGCTGAACCTTGGGTTTTTCGGGAAATCGTCCGAGTTTATAGCGATGCTGAGCAAGTTGCTCCGCCTACTGGATGTGTCGGCAGCGGCCAGTTGGCTGACGAAGGCGAAATATTACCGTAATATACACAAGCAACCGCTACTGATTCAGTGGTGCAGCAGTGGGCTGGCGAAAGGCGTTTTCTGGCACACCTTCAATAGGTAAGCTTCTTGGAGCGAACACTGAGCTTGACTGTTTAGTCTCTGGCTCATAGGATCTTGGGCAAGTTGTTTAGAACTAATTTTGGCATGGAAATCGACTGATGCGTACATAGGCGGACCCAGAGCGGTCTCCAGATTGAGGGAAAGGGAGGAGTTTTTTTTTCCCCATCTCCTCTTCCTCCAACTTAGCCACCGCATCGACAACCCCACCACCTCCCTCCCCCTCCTCCCGCCCGTCATTACGTTCAAGGGTCCGCTAACTCCCCTCCCGCTCTAGCTGGTAGACACTAAACTGAAACGGAGAGTGGCAAGGCTCCGTGTGGAGGAGGGGGGTGACAAACATGGGGTACCAAACAGACTTTTGTATAGTAAAACAACTGCTTCCCAAGCGAAAGGCCCCTCGTCCTATTTCCCCCCCCCCCTTTCTCTAGATCCGCCAGTGGATACGTGAACACCACCTAGCATCAAGAAGCCTTTGGCTGCGTTGCATTTTTTTAGCACTTCTCAAACTTGCTGGCTAAATTCAGCTTTAAAAGCCCGCAATTCAGCCGGAAGGCGAATTGCGGGCTTTTAGAGTTGAATTAGCAGCTAAAAACTTTGAGCAGTCCTCACCAGCAGCTCCAGCATTTAGCTTGTTGATGCCATTCAGCTTAACGGAGTTATGGCTCTTGTGTGAATCAAAACCGGTAAAACAAAACTGAAGGAAACGGAAGTGACTGGAGAGCTTCAGCTTGAGCTAAGAACTTTGATATTTGCCAAGACCAGGATGCGATCATGCGTTTTTATTCGGTTTCATGCGACAGTAAGATAGTTAGCTATAAAGGCTTTGGTTACTTCATAGTTTGATACGTTTGCCTAAGTTGTTCTCGTTGGCCTTCTTTTTGTTTCGGGAGAGGGAGACACTGGCTGAGCTGGTAGCGCTACATTTTGGGATTTCACGAAATTTGATTTTTCTAACTGATTTCATTATCGTGACAGGGTGCTGCCAACGATTTCATAAGTGGCCAAGGGACGTAGATGAATATGAAAACAGTTTACGCTTGAAGTTTACGCAGTGGCAATAAATATTCCTGTAAAATTTCACTTCCTCCTTTATTTATGTATGCCTTCGTTTCTCGAAATAAGAACCGGACGCA